GACGGCACAGGAGGGGAAGACCCTCTATGAGATGGATTAATTCTGTGACTGGGGTAATTGGGATGCTTGTGTTGGAGGCAGTGCGGTTGGCGCAGGATAGAGCAGAGTTTAGGGCTGTTGTACATAGGGTCGCTATGAGTCGCAAATGACTCGACGGCACATAACAACAACAACAACAATATTATAAGATAATTACATCCAGGTTCCAATTTTACGGAAAATTTCTAAGATTGGGGCATTATTGCAGAAAAATAGTCAGAACTCACTCAAGCAAAACCAACAATCAGATTCTATAATATTCACTAGCACACATGTACACACTCATTTTTTGTATATTTTATAGTTCATGTTTCTGCCTAGAAGTAAACCTTTTATATTGAAACAATTGCATATCTGAAGTAGATAATACATAAATATACTTTTATGAGTATATTAGGTAATTCCAGAGATGTAGAAATACAACTTTATTGTGCATAACTCCTCATTTATCTTCATATATCCATTTAGTCAGTAAACTTACTGTCCACACTCATCCAAATTGTTTCTTTAATTTATAGGAAGCCTATCTTTTGAAGATATTCAGTGTGATGGATTATAAGACTACACAGAGAATATACCTTGTGGTATAATAACACAAAGTTTTGAAGACTGTAGACTTGCCTTAAAAAGTGTTTGGATTATTAGAGTGGCTTTAATAGCTGTGTTTTGAATTGCTCTGGAGATACTACAAAGGTGTTCATGTTAATTGAAGCCAGGATTTTGTAGACACTGTTCCTGATGAAGAAATTTTTATTTTAAAGGAAAACAGGCACTGATTCTAGTGGAAAAACTGCCGTTCTCCAGCTTAATTAAAAGTAATGATACCAACTCTGCTGTGAAGGAAAAACAAACATAAATAGCTGTGCTATGCTTTCCTCCTACCGGCACACAAAGAATTGAATGGTGAGCGATAACATAAAAATCACAGGAACAGAATGGAGTAACACAAGGTAAAACATCTTGTAGGAACAAAAGGATAAAGACACTTGTTTGGCATTAATGAGTGCTTACAAGCCTGTGGACTTGGCTGTTTTCCCACTTGGGTGCTATCTATGAATGCCACATTACTCTGTTATTAGAGGATGTGCTTTTGAGAATTTCGTCTTGCACTTGGATTTTTGGAAGACTAGTTATTGCTGAATAGATATATGTTGAGGTAAGTTACTTGTATAAAAATGCCAAATTCTGACTATATATTTTTTCAGAGAAGTATTAAAATGATAGATCAAACTCTTGTAAAATGCTTCAGGTTGTTTGAGACAAAAAAATTAAGCATAAGTAAAATACATTTGATGTCATTCAAGTGTCCTCTTTCCTATGTGTAGATTAATCATGTCACTTAGACCCATAAGTCTTTGACTTAGTATAAATATCTTTTCTTTTTCAGAATGAACAATTTTAGAAAATTTCAAAAATTCTTGAAAAAATATATGTGATCAATATAATCAACTATTTGTCCGAATTAGCTTGTACTGCTGAAGCAGATAGAGAAAAGAAATTTATTTTCTTTCTATAGTAAAAGAAACATCAAGGAGAGTCATGCAAAAATTCAACATGTGATTTTTGAGCATGCTTCTTCCTTTATTATTTCACCTTTCATAGACCTGATATTCACTGATTAGAGTTCTTCACTTGGCATCTGTTCCTTGTTGATACTATCTTGTCTCTGTCTCAACTGTTCTTTATACCACTAAGAAACAAGTAGGTTTAGGACACACACAATACTGAAATAGTCTCACTTACATAACATATCTGACACTGTTTCTCCATATGACAGCAATCCAATATATCTTCTAGGAGACACAATTCATTTCAAAACATACCTCCTTTGAATAATCTCCTTACTGGTTTTTATTTTCCACACTTGTATTTGCATGTGTATGTTGAGTATCATCAAGTCAGAACCAACTTGAAACTGATTTGCTAGCAGGTTTTCAGGCACAGCAAATCTCACAGAAGGATATTGACAATCTTTCTCCTGCAGAGAGGTTGGTGGATTCAAACCACATATATTTGCATTGGCAGCATAATTCCTTATCATTAAGTTAGCTAGATGCCAAAGGGATCAAAAATCCCAGGACAGAAAGAGTAAGAAACCAAATGATTCAAAAAGGAATTCTTGTCCTTGCATGTTCCTTTTGTTCATGATGAAAGCGGTGTTATCAGTTATCACAAGGTCATTCAAGCCCTCAGTTAGACCCTTTGAGAAAAAGCCCAACCATGGAACAAGCAGTACAGACCGCCTCGGCCCACTTACCTGCTCCAGCACCTGTTGGGAGAAAGAGCCCTGTATCAACCAGGCCTTTGCCATCTACCAGCCAAAAAGCAATAGAGAATCAAGAGCACAGGCGAGTTGAAGTGCATAAAATTCCAAGGCCAGAAAATGAGCAACTTAGAAATGAAAGCAAGAAACAAGTAGTTCCAGGTGCTCCTTCAGCTCCAAGGAGAGGCCGTGGGGGTCATCGAGGTGGCAGGGGAAGATCTGGTATTCGGAGAGATGGGCCAATGAAATTTGAGAAAGACTTTGACTTTGAAAGTGCAAATGCACAATTTAACGAAGAAATTGACAGAGAGTTCCATAATAAACTTCAATTAAAAGGAGATAAACTTGAGAAGCAGGAGAAACCTGTGAATGGTGAAGACAAAGGAGACTCAGGAGTGGATACCAAAAACAGTGCAGGAAATGCTGATGAGGAAGATCCATTTAGACCTAATTGCTACTATGACAAAACGAAATCCTTCTTTGATAATATTTCATGTGATGATAACAGAGAACAGAAACCAACATGGGCTGAAGAAAGAAGATTAAATGCTGAGACGTTTGGAATCCCACTACGTCCAAACCGTGGCCGTGGCGGCTACCGAGGCCGAGGAGGTCTTGGCTTCCGTGGAGGCAGAGGGCGTAGAAATGGAAGGGGTGGCACCTTCGCCAGCCCTCGAGGGTTTCGTGGTGGATTCAGAGGAGGTCGTGGGGGCCGAGAGTTTGCAGATTTTGAATATAGGAAAACCACAGCTTTTGGGCCCTAAAAGGTCTGGATCGATCATACTGCTTTCTGAAAGAAAGACAACAAACTTGCTGCATAGTCTACAAACAAATCTGAAAATGAAAATTCTAGCTCTTCTTACTCCTGAAAATTGGTTTCAGTCTTTTGAAGAATGAAGAAGTGAATTCGCTGTATATTTGTCACCAGCACTGGGTTTTATTTTGTGTTTTGTTTTCTTGCCTAATTTCAAAGATACAGTGAAACCTATGAGAGCCAGAACCTAATGGGACTGCCTTGTTTTTTGGGTCTCACAGGTTTTATACCTTTGACAGGGTACAGTCTTAATATGTTTCTGTTGCTCTCTTTAGTGGAAAATATTTTGTTTTTCTTCTCTGACAGGTTTCTGCCTTACACAGGTTCCATCTTTTTCAGGATTTACTATATTGGGGAAGGGAAAAGAAGGTTCATATTTGAAAATGAGCCTTTAAAAATATATTTGAAATAGCAAAAGGTTACATGATTTTTAAAAAATGTATAGTTAAACTAAAGCAGTACTTCATTGGGACTTAGAAGTATTTTTTATTACTGAGAGGATTTTTCTTATCACTAAGTTGTATTTGGCAATTATTGCAAGTTGCCTGTGAATGGGGCCGTGATACTGTTTTGAGAAAGTGTATGCATGTGTCTTTCTTTTTTCTCTTTTGGAAATCCCGTAATATCCCTTTTGAGATAGCTCAATTAATTAGGGTGCTGGACGATAGAGAATTTTGTCAGTCAACTATGTACACACAGTACACACTGTTTCTTAGGCAAAGGTAACTTTTTTATATAGTTGTAAAATTCCATTATATTCCATTGTCAAAGAAACATTAAGAACTTTGTATAGCTGTATAAAAAGCAACTAATTTTTTAAAGAATAAACATTTTAAAGTCAGCAGACATACTGTGTCCTTGCAGAAGTTGATGTGCTGAGGAACAGAAATATGAGGTTTTTTTTGTTGGTTCATTTTCCTCCACTCCCCCTTAGCTTTCCAGGCTTATGGTTTTTTTAATTTTCTTTCTTTTTTCCCAAAGTTTGATATATAAGTGAAGATTTGATACATTTTTCCAATATCTTAAAAAAACTGATCAGTTATTTTAGGAGAACTACATTTTGTAGCAAATGGCATATCACAGGATTTGTCCAAATAATAGATATTTTTCCATAAACAAATGTAAATAATCATAGAAAAGAATGTACTTAGGTGTATTTTCAGATAAGTAAATATTTTGTCCCATTTCCCACCCCTCTCTCTCTTCCCCACAAAAAAATGGCATAAATTTAAAAAAAAAGTCAACTCAAGATGGTTCAGAGACCTGAGAGTAAAACTTAAAACCATAAAGTTCATAAGAGACAAAATTGAACCAAGTTTAGAAGGACTAGCCTATGGTATAAAGAGACTGGCAAATAGAGCCAGAAATGCAAAACCTAGAGAGGATAAAATTGATGAGTTCGAGTTTCTGAAGATTAAATCTTTGTGCTCATCAAAAACTTTTTCCAACATGGTGAAACTGAGAACATTTGACAATACTATCTGAGACAAATGTCTCATAACAAAAGTTTATAGAATACTATTAGGCCTCCAGAAGAAAAATACCGATAACCCAATCATAAAATGGACAAAAGACATGGAAAGACTTTTCACAGAGGAAGACATTAAAATGGCCTATGGACATATGAAGAAATGTTCCAATCACTGGCATTAAGAGAGATGTAAATCAAAACCACAATGAGATACCTTCTCACACCAGTAGCAATGACAAAGTTTAGTGGGCAGCAAACAATAAATGTTGGAGAGAATGCAGAGAATGGGAACTCTCACACACTTTTGGTGGGATTGTAAAAGGGTACAACCATTCTGGAAGGCAGTTTGGCGGTTCCTCAAAAAGTTGAACATAGAAACTCCATATTACCCAGCCATTCCATTACTAGGAATATACTCCAAGGAAATAAGAACAGAAACACTAGTGGAGATTTGTATACCAATGTTCACTGCAGCATTATTCACTATCTTGAGAACATAGAAGCAGCCCAAAAGTTCAACCAAAACCAATTGGATTAAGAAATTGTGGTGTATTCACACAATGGAATACTGTACAGCACTCAGGAACAATGATTTTGAAAAATACTACGTAACTTCGGAGATGCTGGAGAGCATTATTACACTGAAGGAACTAACACAGTCTCATAAGGATCAATACTGCATAAGACTATTATTGTAAAAATAGAAAGATAACTGGTAAAACATATATTGGAACTCAAGATCGAGAGGGGTGAGAATGGGTAGGGGCAAAACCACAGGTTTCCCCAGTTTGATTAGTAGAGAGAAAGAGGGAAATACATGGGAATTATCCATGTGAAAAGACAGGGTACTTATGGGCAAGGAACACTGGTGATTAAATTTATAAAACATAATACATGAATACGATTGTATGAAACACAATGTGAAGGAAAAATAGTGTATATGAACTTTGAAAGCAAACCAATAATAATTTTTAAAAGTATTCACTATGTGCTATTCCAGAGAAATGAGATTTATGCTTGAGGTTGACAGATTGCAAATGAACAAATTTAAAAAAAAATTAATTGCCTGTGGATTGATTTGATAGAATTTATAAAGGGAAAATATGCATACGTGTATGAGTTAACATAGCTTGAAAAAACAAAACTTCAATAATTAACTTTAATAATTGTATGTTCATATATCCTAGGGTCAAGATAAAATAATCTTCTAGATTAGGAATTTTCAAAGCTTCCAAAGGCTTTCTTAATGTTGTGAATGGCTAATTTATTTCTCAATTCTTGATGGCCTAGTGACAAGAAGTTGTGCTGCAATCCCAAAGGCACACAGTTCAAGTTCACCAGCTGCTCTGGGGGAGGAGGTAAAGCAATCTCCTTGGAAACTTGTGATAGGGTCAGCTATGAGTTGTTTCTGACTCTATGGTGCACAACAACAAGCATTATAAATTTATCTTCCATGAACTCTACAACACAATAATAAACAACAGTATAGATGCCTAATTGATTATTGTTATTATTGTTGTATACCATAAAGTTGGAACAGACTCATAGCTGATCCTCTGGAGGATTTTCAGAGGCAGTTATGCTTATGGGAGGACACTGCCCATCCTTCTCCCCCAGAGCAACTAGTGGCCTTGAACCAAGTGTCTTTGAGATTGTAGCACAGCTTCTTGCCACTAGGTCACCAGAGCTCCTTAACTGATAATAGTAAATATATATACTTGTATATATATTTGTATGTGTGTGTGTGTGTGTCTAATATTTTAATCTACATTAAGATTTGATTTCTCAGTGAAGAAATAAGCTTAATCATTATTTCCTTTCAGTAAAGAAAAATATAGAAACTTTGGAATATACTACTAAAGATATATTCTTGGTAAAATATTTTGGTTTAACATTTATTAGGCTCTTTCAATTTCATATTACCTTTAGTAACACTATTGTTGTTGTTAAGTGCCATCCAGCCGCAGGCAACTCATAGCGACCCTATGAAGGAGAGTCCTCGGCCCTTGGGTGCCTTTCATCCTCTCTCCAGGTTCATAGGGTTTCCGGAGGCAAGCTATTATGGAAGGGGATGCCACTCCTCCTTCCATGCTTGTTTTAATCAGGGAGCTCCATCCCACTCTCTCTCAGCATTGGGTAACCGGTCAATAACGCATTTGACACATCAGTGTCCTAGTAACACTAGTGCTTATAAAAAGGTAATATGTCAACCTTGATAAGTAAAGACTTTGAAATTATTCATTATTCCTTGAAATGGTATTTCTCATTTAAAGAATGAATGAAAAATAAGTGATTGACAATTCAGGTGCTTCATAATTAATTGATAGTAGTTTTGAAGGTGGCAATTTTGAAACCGCTGGAGAAGCTCAATATCAGCTGTGAAAACTAGGCCAGGAGCTGATTTTGGAACAGACCACCAACTACTCATATGCACATTCAAGCTGAAGCTGAGGAAAATTAAACCGAATCGACAGGAGCCAAAATATGACTTTAATTTCATCCCACCTGAATTTCAGAATCATCTCAGGAA